GGCTGGGGGAAGGGGCTGGGGGAAGGTGGCTAGGGGAAGGGCGGGAGGGAGGGGGGAAGTAGACCTATCGCTCCCTAACAAGCATGTCTCTTGACTAATTAGAGGCGTTTCTTCGGAGTAAGAGTGCATCTGCATGTAGGCAAAAAAACAAATAATCTGCACACAAAAAAAGCCAGATTTATAAAACGGATCTACACGCAAAAACTGGGGTTCTGGAACAAGATTACTGTCAAGAAGTCGACGAACAACCCGCTGGTATCAGGTGAACTGGCGGAAGAAGGTGAATAGACGTTCTGTTTTCAAATATACGCTTATACAGTTTATGTTATTTGAAAATAATTTTTTATTTACATTCAGTACATAAAAATAATTACTACTGTGTCACTTAAATAAGACCGAAACCTGCCCCAGGCTTCCTGCCCCTTAGAACATTGTAAATAGTCTTATGTCCCCTTCGAAAGTAATTTTATGTGTTTAACGCAGCTGGTTCTACACATTCAGGAAATCTCCCATTATTTATTCACTTTAGACACATTGAAAACAAGCAAAGACAATTCCGTTGCTTGGAAACAAAAATATTTTGACAGACATATACTCGCACAGCTAATGCTTATCAAATTGACGGCATAATTCAGCTGGAATGCAGCCAGACTAAACTACATATGAGACTTTACAACAGAACGCACGACAGGAAGGCGAGAGGAAGATCAAGAAAGAGATGGATAAATGGTGTAAATGAAACCTGCAAAAAGAAGAACAAATCCATCACTAAGCCTCACAAGAAGCGCAAGACAAATGCAGAAAACTACAACACAGGGCTATACATTTTTGGTCTTATGCAAGACGATACACAAAGGGAGAACAAGTGAGAAAATAAAATCATGTTAATGTAACGGGTTATTACAACCTTGTACTATGAAAATTACTGCACTTGAGGTCCTTAAATAGGGACATCGATGAGAATCCCACAAAGACTTTCGGCAGACGAACTAGAATCAGACACCCCCCCCCCCCCCCCCCCCCCCCCCCCCCCCCCCCCCCCCACAAATTAAGGATCGCTTCATCCTAAGATGCTGTCTGAGCAGTGGAAATTGGACAAAGTCTTTCATCAGCTTTCGCCAATTTTGAGGATTATCTTAGCAACACACCTCCTTTAAAAGTGTGTCAATCTCTCGACTCGTTTGTGGGAACACAATCTCCTTTTGCCAGTTTTTGGGTCCGCCTATGGTTTGTCTTCTAATAATCAATTCTTTGTGGAGTTAGTAATCAGGTCTCTTCACTGCCTTCCGTCTTGTGCACTGTCAATGATTTCTTCTTCTTCTTCTTTCGTTTGCTTAAAATCGATGATCTAAATCTGCAGTGTTGTCTCTAGTACGAACTTCACTGTCTGTTGTAATTCACTCAGCGATCCGTAAAGTCTGGCTTGCACCGGTTTGCATCTTAGCCAAAAGTTTTGCCTTGATATGTAGTCTCGTATTTGGGACAATCTTATTATTTCAGGTACCAGTCCACCTGCAGAATTGTAGTAGTAGTAGCAGCAGCAACAGTAAGTGTCTAACATGCTACGTTTGAGTCTGTGAAAATTGTCAAGTTTCCTACTAAGGTACAAAGCTTGATAACTTAAAAACACGTAGTGTCATACTTTTTTCGTCCATAAGGACGAAATTTTTTTGTTATTTGAAGCCCCACCCTGGCTTTTGCCAGGGGTCGCAATATAGGCAGGCCATAAATATGGCCAATTGTCTGAACGCGGTTTCTGGGACCTCTCCACGGCGATCCTCATCCACGTGGTGGCACTTTGTGTCATCGGGTGTTTATCGCTTGTGTGATATTCTAGTGGGGTAGAAAGTCAGTCAGTCAAAAACACGTAGTTCTGCCAAGGTAGTGAACTTGATTTTCAAACTGACATTTCGGGCAACTAGCCATTTAGTTCTTCAACGTTAACCATGCGTAATTCGGCATGGATTCCTCAAATATGGCATTAAGTGTCAAAATTGATAGATGCCTAATTGCAATATATTAAAGTAGTATGAAGTATTCTACGCCAAGAACCCTGCAATTAAAAAGATTAGCCATAGCTAAAATGCCTAAGAGGGAAAGTAGTTCCATCGAGCGAAAAGTGTGTGTAGGAGGGGAATTAGTTCCTTTGAGTAAAAAGTTTGTCTAGGAGGGAAATTAACTCCCTCGATGTTCAAGAAAGATCATACGCGGTACATGGAAATATTAACTGTTTATTCTCTGGTCACTGGGCGAAAAAGCTGAGCTTTCATGACACATTTCCTCCTGCGCCTTTCATCTCACGATTGCACAATAGACAATCGGGGGCGGGGGGGGGGGGGGGGGGGGGGGGGGGGGGGCGTTTGCAACACAGGATTCGAATTTTTTGTGTCTTTCTCTGGAATATACAAGGTTAAAGCAACAGACGGAAACCCCAGAAACACACTGTTAAATCAGAGATGGAAGTGGGTGAAACGGGAAGTCTTTGTTAGCATCTGATAATGTACGAGTATGATATCGATACAATGCGATTTCCCAGTGCATTATTTTCCCTCCAACTTTCCAGTTATTGCCACGTATCCTAGTTGTTCTCTAATCACGACACGACCAAAGAATGTAGATTGTCTGCTTATTACGCAGGTTTCGCTTTCCTCGTGAGTTACAAGACATCTCCTTTAAGCTTTTTATTTACCATTTGTGTTCTCATCATTCGTCTGCAAATATGGCAGTACCAAACAATTATTACTTTAACTCCTCTTATTTCCTTTACCATCTAGTTTCGTCCTTTTTAGGACGAATTTTTTTGTTATTTGAAGCCCCACTCTGGCTTTTGCCAGGGGCCGCAATATAGGCAGGCCATAAATATGGCCAAATGTCTGAACGCGGTTTCTGGGACCTCTCCACGGCGATCCTCATCCATATGGTGGCACTTTGTGTCATCGGGTGTTTATCGCTTGTGTGATGTCCTGGTGGGGTAGAAAGTCAGTCAGTCAACTCCTCCTAATGCAAAGAGTTGAGCTTAAAAAGAATAGGTTAGTTGCGTATCCTTTACATGACGTTGCAGAACTAACCCCGGCACCACCTGGCTGTTGTGTGGTTTCTCTAGGAAACTTTCCGTCCAGTTTTTTGCCATTGCTTTCTAGACGGTCGGCCCCATGATACCACTGTCGAAACCAACGCAAGGCGCATGGCCCGCAGCTGGGATCGAACCCGGCACCCCGGCATTACGAAGCGTTCGCATCGACTTAGCCACAGAGCCGACAAAAAGAATAATAACTTGTCTAAATATATTCAGTAAAGACACTTTGGAACAGAAGTAGTTAAGTCTAATAATTCAGATACAAGTGGATATTATACGAACCGTGTCTGTGAAAGAAGACAGCAAGCATATCATGATAACTTTTGAGCGATCAAGAAACCTGGGGTGAGTTGGTTGATACTCAAATTGTTAAAACCACTTTATTTTTCACTATTCAATGTCCTACCTACTTACACAAGGTCTGACTGTATAGCTCTTAGAAACTCTCTTCGTGCAATACCCAACACAAACGAATTCTTCCGGGCTCGTTATAAAAAATGTAGACATGCTTTCAACTACTGAGCTTGTTGTAGGGCGAGACCGTGGGAGCAGCTGTCTAGTTTAAGGTGGATTGGGGGGTGGGTGGGGGTAGGGGACGCTAGGGTAAAAATACTGAAGCCAGGGGAGCAAGGGGCATAGGATATCAGACCATATTTCTTTATGGATCAATCATGTCTCTTTTAACTGTGGTCAGTATTGCGCCAACCACCTTTATTTCCCATGATATGTTCTGCTACTCATGTTAGGTAGAGACGACCTTGGAGCCAATATAAATTTTGTTTTTAAGTCGACCTTGGCGGAGCCACATATACATTTTGCGGATTTGACCACAAGACCTTCAAGTGGACAGGCTAATCTAATCGTGGCTAGTGCATTTTTTGTTTTACATTACATTTCCTAACTACTGAACCATCGTGAACCATCAACTTCCTTGTGGTATCAAATGTTCTTGACTAATGGATGCTCTTAAATATTGAGTTCAGTAGTGTCCGGGAACATGTCCGGAAAATATTCGTGAATTCTGGCTACAAAGCGATAGCTTCAGGAACACTCGCACTGGACAAACGAGACATTCTGAAGACCTTTTATGAACGAATACTTATAGAAGACTGACGGTTAGAGGAAATAATGTGTGTAAGTGTGTGGTCGAAGCATTAGGTGTAGGTAAGGTAAGAAGGGACACATGAGAGGAAGAGACCGATGTGTGTATAATCGACGTGCTAAAGGAACGGTTAGCATCACAACCTTAATAAGAGCGTTTGCTGCGGGGGACGAAGCACCTATGGGTTATGCCTGGTGGCGTTACGATGATGATTCTACGTCAGTAAGTCAGTAAACCTGACAACATAATGTATATCAAATGTCGGTAACTTTAACCATGATATCATATGACTAAATGAGATCAAAATTGAAAATGACTGTAAGGATTATATAGGAAAAAACGTAAAATACTCACCACTTTAAGGATGATCTGCTCGGCTCTGTCAGTCCTAACATCCAGCAGTATCCTATGGTCAGTATCCTGAATCTTGTGAAGCTCCAGCAGCAGCTCATATCCATTTTCCACCGATGTTATCCGCTTGGTGTCAATGGTGATGATTGTTTTGTCGTATTTGTTTGTGGCCTGGAACAACTGTTGCAGGCGGATCAGACCTGGACAAGAAGAAACGAGAAAATTAAACACAGGATGCCCCAAAGGTTTCCAAATAAAGAAAACAAACATTCTGTTTACGAAATCCATGTTTGCTTTTAAGGTTAGTTGTCATTTACAGGACGTTGCAGAAACTAACAGCAGCATTGTTTTGCTGTGGTGAGTTTTCTAGCAAATTAACATTCAATTGTTTGCCATCAATGAAAGTAGAATATTATATACAATAATGAGAAGAAGACAAACAAAGTTGTTTGGTCAGATAATGAGAAAAGGAGCACAGGAAAATATCGACTGGAAAGACCACTGGTAGAAGAGGCAGAGGCAGACCAAGAAAAATGATGGTGGATGGATTAGGACAGTGGCATGGATGAATATCATCAGTTGAATTAATCCAGAACACCAAAGACCGAGATCTGTGGAGATGCATGAAAGCCTACGCCAGCTGGCAAAGCATTTGATGATGATGAGTTTGCCACTCCTGATAAACGGTTCGCTCTCAATACCACTGGTGAAACCAACGCAGACGGTCTGTTGCCAAATCTCCATGGAAACGGCGCCAAGGAAGTGAATATCACGTCTGACTGCCAGCTCAATGGCTATGCGTTGGAATGCTCACAGTTACGAATTGCATAAAGTTACTTAGACTTCCTGATTCCCTTTTGATTTGGAACCTAACTCACCCGTTATGATTCCAAACTTTCAGATTTTGTTCTGAGTCAGTGTGTTTTTATTTTTTTTTAAAGTTTCCCTTCTTGAGGTCCTTGAGAAGAATGTTGCGAATACCTGGGACTGGTAGAATAACTAACAATGATTCCCTGGAAATGGCCAATGAAAGTAGAACATTATATACAACATTGAGAAGGAGACAAACAAAGTCCTTTGGTCATGTAATGAGAAAATGAGCACTGGAAAATATAGTGACGACTGAAAAGATCACTGTTGGAAGAGGCTCACCACCCGTCAACTTCCCAGTGAAGCTTGTTCCTTTTTGCTCGAGGCATCCTTGTCTTCATCTTTCTCAGCATATGGTTCACTAGACCCATATTTTATAGCCCAATTGACATTCAATGGGTGACGGATTCAACATTCTTTTCTTCTTCTTCTTCTTCTTCTTCTTCTTCTTCTTCTTCTTCTTCTTCTTCTTCTTCTTCTTCTTCTTCTTCTTCTTCTTCTTCTTCTTCTTCTTCTTCTTTTTCTGCCTTTCTATCCCCCAATGGAGCATAGGCCCTCAACTAACTCACGCCAAGTCGTTCTATCCTTCGCCATTACATGGAGCTCTCCCCATGTCCTCCCCATCTTTCTAACTTCATTCTCCAGCTCTATTCTCCATGTGTTTTTTTGGCCTTCCTTTATTCCTATGCCCCTGTGGGTTCCAATGCAAAGACATTCTAGTTATGCTGTTTTCCTGTTGATTCAACATAACTTCCCTTGAATTTACCCGGTAACCATTTAGGGCTGAGTCGACCTGGGAGACAATATCATTATTTAAAAAAAGTCCGGCACAGTTCGACTTTGAACCCATTACCTTCGGATCTGATAGCTAGCAGCTAGGCACTAGACTACGGCGGTACCCAGCCCTTATATGGGTCGGTGCTATTAGGGTTCCCTACTGTCCTCTGAGCACCCCCAGCAGGCACTAAGACTGTCACGAATATTGTTTTGTACTGCTCTGACCTTCTTATTCTAAAATGTTGAATATCTTTCATCCCAAAATTAATCCCTACTGATTATTGGTTTTTAATTTCTTTAATCTGTGTTGCTCTGTTCTTAATCCCTACTTCCAGATTCCTTTCTAATTCCCAGCTTCTTGATGTCCTTTCTTTTCCTCCTTTCTTCTAATTTCCTTTTTCCAGGTTCCCTTTTGATTCCATACTTCTCAATTCCCTACATCCCCCACCGCCCCCCCCCCCCTTTTTTTTTTTAAAAATAAGGAGTGGGCTAGTCCAAAGGTTAAGAACACAGGAGCCTCATGCGGGAAACCATGAGCATCGAGAGGTGTATATCTTAATCTTGCCCGGTTCGAATCCTCGGTAAAGTTGGGGATTTTATGTGTGTGTGTGTGTGGGGGGGGGGGGGGGAGGGGGACAAAAATAAAATCCCGACCGGCACAGTCTGTCACAAATACCTTAGGATAAAAAAATAAAAAAAAAACTGCCTACATCGCAAAAATTGTAAATACAGACCGGAGTGGCAGCTTTTACTTATTTAAGTCCAAATCAGCTTTTACGAATCATCGGCGCTGGGGTCGCCTATTGGCTAGCCGGTAGACGACTTCGACGCCGGTCGGGACAGTATTTGGGTGTGTCTCCTTTGATCGCATCAACACTGCAAGAATCTTTTTCAGGGCTTTAGGTGACTTGCAATGCTAAGCCATTTTATGTAACGCACATAACCTAGTCACAATTATAACCCACAGCTCCCCCTTCAGGGATGCGGTTGAACGTGACAACTTTTTTAGAGCTTAGCAAGCCAAACCAAAACCTTATGAATTCATTCCTCAGCCAGACTTACCAGTTATGCCCCTTACCTTCATCTGTGTCGTAGAAGAAAAAGACTTTGTCCCAGCCGTAATGCAAGATGACCTCCACGATAGCGTTGATGTAGATGGGTCTCATGTAGATCTGGTAAGAATCATTTCTGGAGCTGTTCTGAGCCATGCTGATAGTGACGTAAGGCACTTGAAACGTGTCCGTGTATGATTGGATGGCTGCTAGAGATGAGGCGTTGGATACGCCAATGATAGCAAGATCCCCACGGGACAAATGGTGGCAGACTGTGGAAACAGACGTTTGGGAAGTTGTGTTGCATGTGTTGTCAATGGGTTTGCTTACAATAGACACGTGCTTGGGTAGTCCTAGTCCTAGTACTTTTGAGAAAAAAAAATGAAAAGGTCGACAACTTTCAGACTGCTGCTAGCTAGCCGAGGCTGCTAACAGTCTCCGCCTATATTTGTGGTCTGGGTTATTTACGTCACTTTCGTGACTAAATTCTAGTATTGTGCCATTTCTGGGCTTTATGCTTCCTTCCGAGAAGTGCTTGGGTTCCATTTACGCAAAAAATATGGTTTAGGGTTGGTCTAACGTTTTAAGATGTGAACATAATTTCTGAATTCTTAGGACAGTGAATGCGCACATGAAAAGTTTGACGACGTCCCAATATGGGGCACACTTTTTCGTTATTTTAAAGCTCCACTGTGAGTGTAGTCGGGGGTCCTAATACTTGTATAACCTAACAGTTGAACGGAGTTTCTGGGACTTTCTGGGACCAGGTGATTTTGATCATAATACTGGCACTTTGTGTCATCGAGTGTTTATTGCTCGTTGTGCAGTCCTGGTGGGATTGAACTTAATTCAGTTTTAAAGAAGCTAAAGGGGGAGAAGGAAAATAAAAAATAAAAAAGACAGACAGAAAGAAAGAAGCAGAAGACAGGGTGGTGGTGATAGTGGAAGAATAAGGAAGATGTAGTAGCTGAGAAAGAGAGAACGCAGAAGTAGGTGAAAATAAAATTTTACATTTTTTGGTACACCGGTGGGACATCATGTATATGATGCTAATCCAATGTCTTTATAAACCAATGGCCACATTTGGGCTGTGGTCGGCATCACAGGGCCACCTTTTCTTTCCAGGACAATACCTGGGCTCATCTAGTGCTGGGGGACGGGGGGTGGGGGGGGGGGGGAAGAAGGCCGTTTTTTAAAATCTATATTAACCCTGTCACTTGAACAGAACAGACCAAGTCACAGTTTTTCGCTTACGCACTGGACACTGCAGACTCAATAAACACTCACATAAATTAGGTATGAGCCAAACAGCTCTCTGCCGGTGCCTTCGTGCTGAACAGACTCCAGAACATGTCCTGCAAGACATATGGCAACACCCAGTAGAACTGACAACTAAGCTTTGGGGAAACCTAAGAGACCTTGAAAAGACATCCCAGTTTATGACCCACAGTGGATTATGCGCATGACCAGAGATCGCTGAAGAAGAAGAATATATTAACCCTGTAGGTTTTGACTCAGGACCTCCTGGCCGTAAGTCGAATGTTTGAAGGAAGAAGACATGGAAGGAACTTTGACTAGATGCAAGTGGGAGAACAGTATCAACATTATGGCACAACTATAAGTGCTCCGTTCTACTTCTGACTCAAGCCTGAGTTTGAAGAATCTCAGCGCAGTGCACGAGCTCCGTAGCACCGGCGGGGATCCTGCAATTCTTTAGCTAGATTGTCAACTCCAAATTTTGCCCGGGCAGTGACGTTAGGCTACTCTTTTCGATTTCCAACTTACAAGAGATTTTTGTTGGTGCACAACAATGCACACAGGTGTCAGATCTTACAACTCATAGGTTAGTTGCGTATAATTTACAGGACCAACCCCAACAGCCCCTGGCTGTTGTGTGGTTTTTCTAGGCAAATTTACGTCCAGTAGTTTGCCATTGCTTCTGGACGTTCAGCTTTCTTGATACCTCTGTTGAAACCAACGCAAGGTGCATGGCCCGTAGCTGGGATCGAACCCAGCATCTCGGCATTACGAAGCGTTACAACTCATAGACTAGGGGAAATTACTGGAAGTCCACGTGAAAATATCCCAGCCCTCACCGGGGTTTGAACCGGGACCTCTAGCACTCGAGGCAGATGCGATATCTCGAGACCATGCAACCCCCTCACAGAGAAAACAGTACAAAAAGGAGGTGGAGGAGGATGAGGAGGTGGAGGATGACGATGTGTTGGACGAAGAGGTTATGGGAGAAATTGTCAAAGATGATGAAAAATACGTGAAGTAAGAAAAACAGGCATGGAGTATAAAAGAAAGACATAAAGTTGAAAGAAAGATGTGGGAACGGAAGAATTAAATCAGAAAGACGACAGTCAAAACGAAGAAGAATTACGAATGGTCAATTTTCTCGACCCTAGAATTCATCACTTAACCAATATATTCGCACAATTGTTCCCCATTGTTTTTCGGGGAAAGAATGAAAATTCGCTGTACGAAGCAGGCAGAAAACACTTTTGTCGCTTGAAATGTTTTCTGACAAGACAAAATTGCTGGCCAATCGATTTTGAGAAAGCATAGAATTCTCATGTCAAGCCAGAACATTGAGTCCACCCCCTCCCTGCCCTTCCTTTCTTCCCTTCCCCCGTTGTATTTGAGTTTGTCGCAGTGTTCACTGTGGTTTGGTTCTCACGCGATGCGGTTTGTCGGTTGATTGAAGTTCAGGCTCAGAATGTAGGTAAACAAAGTAAAGAACAAAGTTTCCACGCTTTCTTGTGTATTCCACATAAAGGGCTAGACCTATTTGTATGGTGGGTGATGTTATGAACATCACGCAGGCCGCCTTTTCTTCCCAGGACTTTATCTTGCTTCCATTTTAGGCTGAGTCGACATGGGGGCCAAGATCATTTCTGAAAGAAAAAAAGTGACGGTTGGTAAGGGTTTGAACCCACGACCAGGCTAGCGTCTAGGGGCGACACTAGGGTGGCTCCAAGTTTCAAATTAAATTTTTAAGGTTTTCGTGTTTTCCTTTTTGGTTACCGGGGAGTGGCCGTGGTGCAGCGACTAGATGCTCGCCTTTGGATCGGAAAGTCGTGGGTTCGGGTGCTGACGGTGTCAGACTTTTTTCAAAAGTGACTTTGGATCCCAGAGTGACCCATCCTTGAGTGGGTACCAGGTGTAGTCCTGGGAAGTAAAGGCGGCCGGCGGGATGCTGAGCACATCCCCCCTTCCCCAGTGGTCTATAAAGTATAGGTCTAGCCCTATATGCCCGGGAGTCCCCGTGGCGGAGCGGCTAGACGCTCGCCGCGGATCGGAAGGTCGTGGGTTCGCGCCCTGGAGGAGCCAGACTTTTTTCAAAAATGACCTTGGCTCCCAGGTCGACCCAGCCTTGAGTGGGTACCGGGTGCAGTCCCGGGAAGTAGAGGCGGCCGGCGTGATGTTGACCACATCACACCTATCTTGTGCCGATTCGTCTTATAAAAATATAGGTCTAGCCCTATATGCCCTAAACACCTATAGGCGTGGAAAATGGTCCTTTACTTTTTTTACCTAATATGCCCAATACCCCTGACGGCGAAGAAAAAGGTCCATTTACTTTATTTGTTTATTTGGGAAGGCGTGATAGAGTCATCGGTGGACGCTCGTCAGCGGATCCAAGGCTCTGGATTCTAATTGACCTTGATGGTATTTTCACCCCCCCCCCCTCCCTTTGCTGGGTTGTTACTAATCTTTGGTCCCTTAGACTCTTGATTTACTATTCTTTGCTGCCCTGGATTGAATTATTTATATTCTTGGCTTCCAGAGATTTTCGTGTTACTATTCTTTTGTCCCCTAGAATGCAGTGTGACTATTGTCATTTAATGACTAATATAAATCATAGAATATTTCTACCAAAAGTCTGAAGTAAGGCTGTTCATCCAATTCGGAACGCATACAACATTTTCTCCACTGTGAAAAGAAAGTTCTCATTCATCTCTAACGCTTCCAACAGAATCTTTCATCTGTTGTCATATACTTATTAACCTCAAGATCACCCCACTAATATATGCGCACAGGAAATCACGTACAAACGTCGCCGTCTGTCATAGAAATGCTTAATAGCATCGGTAGAGACTGCCAATGCGAATGTTAGATGGAAATGTAATATGTTATTTCCGAGAATATACAGAATGTTTCTTGATTTGGCTCCAAAACGGAAGGCTTATTTCAGAATGGGTCTTATTGAAATACTCTTTTCCAATGCACATAAAAACTACAGTTGTATTAGTCTTTTTTTTTTCTAGTAGTAAATTTAGGACTTTATTTGGGACAAAAGTAATTTCAAGCTCGTTGTTCTGAATTGGCTTCATCATTATAACGTAACACTACGTGTCGTTAGGTCACCAGATTCTGTTGACTGATCAGCTCTCTCCACCTCTGACATTCAGTTGCGAATGACTTCATGGTTGCATGCCCGAGGCCTGTCTAGTCAGTCAGGTTCTGTAACCAGGTTTTTCTTGGCTTGCCTCTTCTTCTCTTTCCCGTTACTGAGCCCTGCAGTATTGTTTTTTGAGAGGCCACTAGATCTTATTGCATGTCCATACCATTGCATTTTTCGCCTTTTCACTGATCATTTTTTCTATACATTAGAGTCCTATGTAGTCACTTCACAGTTAGAGCCTATTTGTGTATGTGTACTGTGTTGTCCTTTATGTGCTGATGAAGGCTAATCGCCGCAACGTCCTTTGTTTGTTTATTGTGATCGATTTTGTAAACCTAACATAAACTAATTATTGTTTCTTACCAACTTTTTCTCTTCCCTAAAATTTTGCAACTCCTTATAAAAACTGTATAATTTTATAGCGAACTTCTTCGCTTCAAACGTCATTGCTAGTTGGTGTCAGTATATTTTTTCCAGGGCATAACGCTGTATGGCGTGACGCTGACCACACCACCCTCCTGTGCCGATTGATCTATAAAAATATAGGTCTAGCCCTATATTCCCTATACGCCTAAAGGCGTGTCAATGGGTCCTTTCCTTTTTTTTTAAACGCTGTACAAGGAAAATAACAAACAAACAGACTGGCTGGTTGTGCACAACTTGGTGGTTAACTGATGTATGTCAAGTTAAATGTTGCAATGACCCTTGGGGGGGGGGGGGGGGGGGGGGGGTATTAATAGTGAGGAGACACAGATGGGTCAGCGCGGTCTGAGGCGAGGAGAATGATGCTGCGAGAAGTTACTCGGGGGAATCTGGCCGACGATCAACACTTAAGGAAAATGTGAGACGGATATACATTTA